TACGGGTTTTTTTTTTTTTTTTTTCTTTTTTCCTTAAACACAGCCAGCAGCTGCTCCAGACTGAAAAAGATGTTGCCTGAAGATCTCCAAAGTCTGCGAGCCAGACAGAGAGATTGTGGAGAGGATAGGCAAATCAATCACTTATTCAAAAATTAAATTTAGGGAAACAGCTTAAGAACCCAGAGATAAACAGATGGGCTATTACCAAATGACAGTTCAGAAACCTTTCTGATATTCAAATCTGAATTGTGTGTCTGTCCCCCAAAAATGCATACCTTCTTTGTATAAAAACCATTACACATTTCCCTTTGAGAAAGAGACTGAACACACACACGCACACGCGCGCGCACACACACACACACACATACACGATCGTCCTGTTCTTTCCCCTGGTTTCTGTGGAGACTAAATCTTTAGAGCTGCAACAGCAGCAGATTCCCTCACCTCACTGCCTGGGGATGAGGCAGGGGGAGGAAATTGGACAGGGATTAAACATGATAAAAGGGGGCTTCTTTGCAAGGGCTTAAACCAGTACACAGTCTGAGAAACAGAGAGATAAGCAGTAACAGGCAGGCAGAGAGACACATAACTGCCCCTGCTGCTAAAACCTAGCCATTTCTTCAAACAGCAGCAAACATGAGACATTTCATCACCGTAGTGCATCCATATTGAGAAGGGGGGGAGAATCGTGTGCTTTGCTTTAAGCATTTCAGTCTCCCAAGATGGGAGGAGACCCCTGTCCATATGTCGTAGGAGCTATCCACCACCCCAAAAGTACACTCACTTCACCTAGCTAGCAGACCACTTGCCTAACAGGTTTTGCAGCAAGCACGGTTAATCTATGTGATAGCAGGTTGTCTCTTACCGTAGGCAGCAGCGGCTCCATTTGGGCTCCCTGGTCTTTAATCTCCATGTTTTGTAACGCCTCTGGAATAAGCACCTTGCTCTGCAGTGTCTTCAGTGTCTTACACTCAGCCCGGCACTCGCTCTGCTTAGTATTCGGATCAGGTAGCTCTGAAGCAGGAGGCAATTGCACACTCCAACTCACCAGAGTCACATGGCTCCTACTCACTCGGGCTGCTGGCCAGGTTTTGCACTGAATGCCTTGGATCCCTGGGCCGGTAAGAGAGATCCCCCAAGCCCTATATCACTGCCCACACCTGGCTACTAGCATAAAATACAGCAGACAATGCTACAAGTCTAATGGGCATTAAGAATCTCACCTAAGATGCTCACTTTTCATATATACTAGTCCAAGTTGGCCTCCAACCAAATCAGTCTGATTTTGACACTTTGAAGTAACTCACTTCATTCTCAGAACCCCATAGGAGACATAATTCAAGCAAGATGATGTCAATAAGGTTTACTAGGTGTTCTGCTCTGAGTACCTGGGGGCTTTTAAAACAGATAAGATGACCTTAAGATTAGCAAGTCTTATTGAGGCTGAAGTATTCACCACCAACGACAACAAAATCAAGCATTTAAGTCATTGTTGACTCAATAAGGATTGGACAGATATTTTCAGTATTTTAAAAGTGAAAAACTTAGGTAAGTCACACATTATTAAAAATAAAGTATCTGTTTTTCTATGATTTCCCAACAAAAATGACAGAGAAAGAAAATATTTTGATAGCAGGAATGATTAAGATACTAAAGCACTTTGAAAAGACAACGAATCTGAAAAGAACAGCCCAAGCATATATCCCTTTGCCTAAAAGTCTCAACAAAATAGGGGTAGGGGATTATTTAAACAATCCACAGAAGAAAAGATATGCTCTTTCGCAGGAAGTAGTTTGTGAGGATTGTCAAGTGACTACACATATTTCCTAAAACTGAGTATAGATCTAGAGTATTTTAAGTAATGAAGCCCATATATCACTGAACTTGTATGGAGGTTACAAATGAAGAGTAATAAAGAACTTTCAGGGATTGAAAGAGGTTGACTAAAAACTATTAACATAGTTTACCTTAAATAAGAAAAATTTTACCAGATTCTAAAACCTTTAATAAGCAGAAATGAATAAATTTTAAGCAATACACCAAAATTTCCCATAATGTTCATTGCAAGTGGAATTATGGATAACTTTTATCTGCTTTCCTTCTCAATACAATTCTTTAAAACAATCTTCTAATATTTTTATAAGAAAACAATTATTTTTAAAACCCTAATGATTAATACATTTAAGTGGCTACTTTGTGCATAGCATACTGAGTTGATACCAAGGGTTTACATAACAAGATGTCTGACTGGGAATTTACTGATATGGGGGTCAATTTTATTTTCTACCACAGACTGATGAATAAAAGCTACCTTCCCATTCAAGTGACCATAATCAACAATCACAAACAATCTGTTAGAGTAAAAATAGTAACTTCACCTCAGAAAGATTGTTTCTATCCCATTGAGAAGCCTATGTTGTCCCACTTATATTTCTTCAAAATTAATTTAAATATAACTAAGAAAAAGTCTGGTCCTTAATTCCAAAAGTCAAAATAAAAGTAATATTGTATTTAAAATTACTTTTTATCAATATTTTCCTAAATGTGTATAATTAAACGACAAAGGTACTTTGCTGGAACAACCATTGCTTGAGTGCTTACGATATGACAGAGCTACTATTTCTGCCAATATAATAGGACTTAGCCAGGGTTGCAACAGCAGACAGTCTACTTCTAAAGATCAAGAAAGCCTATGGATCTAAAGTTATCTGATCCAAGATGTCAACTACCAGCCTAGCACAACAAAGTGGAGAAAGAGAAAATGATCCTCATTTAATCTGCTGCCTATCTAATAGAATATATTAGAATTAATGCCCATGACCTGATAGAATGCATCCACATACTAAATAAGTCCCAATGAAGAAGATATGTATAAAACTAATAACTCCTAGGAGGAAAACGATCAGTAGGTAGTGAAATTTTTACTAACAAAATCATAGAATTTTACAGCTCAACTTCTCCGTTGATTTTCAAACTCAGAAAGTGAAGAGAAACAGATGGGAACAGGAAATACAAATTGCATGAACAACTTTTTCTCAACTACATATTATCTGCCTTGGAGATTCTGCTATGTCCTTGGTGGGGGTGAGGAGAAGAAATAGGTGAGGATATACTTTTTGAAAAATATTCCCAGGTAAATATTATACTTCTTCCAGTCTGGAGCTCTTTCCACTACAGTAAAGTTTCCTTGGATCCGAGATGATAAAAATAGGTTCCTGTTTAGCCTGCTCCTATTTAGAAATCCAATGAGATTCTATTAGTACAATTTGACAGCAATGATTTCAATCATCACATTAAAGTAATGCAAGACTGAATTTGTCCAAGGAACTAAATGTTCCAGACATCCTACTAGAATAAGACAATAGTCTGATTTTCACTCAGTCAGTCCTACTATGTGTGAGGTACTATGCTACTTGCTGTCATACACAGCAATATTAAAGTGGAATTTTTCTCTCTGAAAAATGAAATAAAAGTAGGGATCAGCCACAAGCCAACCATACAGACAGAGGAATAACATAGAGCACTAAACAGAAGAGCCACCTTCCTGTCCAGCTGCCCATGTTGTGACCAGTAGGAAAGGAATACAGCCACCATGGTGTGCTTCCTTCCTTGATCCTTCCTGTATCTTGGGACTCTTGCTGACCTCAAATTTTACTAATCCCTTAAGTATGCAAGTCAGTGTGGATTCCATGTACTTTCAGTTCCTACCCCCTTTTGCTATTTTAAGCCCCTGGTGTTAAGATATGCACATTAACATAATGTTTGTCTTAGAGAAAAGACCATCTACTATTGATTGTATTGGAAGAAAACACTGGATTCTAAAGGTATTGCCAACACTGGTATTTCAAGAAAACACTTTCAGTCCTGGTGGTATTGAGTTTCTCGCTTAGATCTGAAAGTTCTTTGCTTTGGCCCTTTTTAACATAAAATAACTAATTTTTAGGTTGCAATGGGTTCAGAAATATAGTCTGAACAGTAATACTATGTTAGTGGTAATTTACCAGTTCAAGAATAACGTTTCAAAAAATTACTATTTTTCACATACGAAAATGCATCACTGCACTATTTATGTCATTTATTTATGTTTCATTCCTTTGTATCTCTTATCCCTTGAGACCTATACAAATATTCTCAACAACTTAAAGCATTATTTTGAAGATTTGTCAAATACAATTGACTCTTGCCAAATACAGTTGACTAAAGTTTGTATTAAAACTCTTAGTGATGTAGGGGTTAGAGGCACCAAGCCTCTGAGCATTTGAAAATCTGCATAATAACTTTTGACTACCCCAAAACTTAACTACAATACTGTTGACCAGAAGCCTTAATAATAACAGAAATAGTCAATTAACAGATATTTTCTATGTTATGTGTTTTATATACTTACAATAAAGTAAGCTAGAAGAAAGAGTTAAGCAAATCATAAAGAAGAGAAAATATACTTACTGTTCATTAAGTGAAAGTGGATCATCATCCTCATCGTCTTCACTTTAAGTAGGCGGAGGAAGAGAAGGAAGAGGAAGATTGGTCTTGCTATCTCAGGGGTGGCAGAGGTAGAAGAAAATCTACATATAAGTGGACCCATGCAGCTCAAACCTCTGTTGCTCAAGGGTCAACTGTATATTAATATAAAAGTATTTTGTTGAATTTGACCAACTCAAGAAATACCAAAAACGCTTTCTTGACAGCTTAAAAATGATGGCACTTAACCATTAAGAAAAAGGGTAAGAATGCCCATTCTAAAACCTGGCATATCATAAGGAACTTCTTCATATAATACTAAAATTTAAAGGTGTCAAATGACACTATGTTTTTACAGATGTTCTTGGACTCCAACCTGACAGTGACTCTGGTCATCAACTATGAAAAGGAATATATAAAATAAGTAATTAGGGACCCCATTCCAACATTGGGCTAATGTCCCACTTCTCTTAGTTCATGACTGGTTTTTCTACTTCTGAAGATTGGAACAAAGACCTGATTTTCACTTTTTGTCCCAATTTCCTCCTACAGGGAAACTCATAGAAGGCCTACTCTCTAGTTCTAGATGGCAGCATCTTAATTTAATTTAACTCAATTCAATAAAAATTTGAGTACCTACCATGTGCTAGCAACTATACAGAAACAAATAATAAGACATAGCCCCTGGACTCAAGAGATAATTTAGAAGAGAACAAAGATCACATCATTCAGCAAGGTGCTATTTAAATTTTTAAAAATTCTGCAAAAATCAGAGGTAGGCCAGAAAACAAAATGACTAACTTTTAATAGCATTTTTCTCACCTTTACTACAGAGATTTAAAATCCTTAGGGGACTTGTTTTTATGGAAAGATCTAATTTTCCTTTGCTTGTTATATAAACAAGAAATATATGCATGCCTCAACTTATTACTTCTCCAATTATCAGCCTTTAAGCCTAATTATCACTGTCTTTGTTAAATGGTCCGCAATGTGTCATTTCTATTCCTAACTTGAAAATAATCAATATCACACTTACAGAGTTAATCTTGTAACTAATCCTTAACGTGTCCTTTTCTATCCCAAGTTATGAAAAATTATACTAAAATAAGCATTATTCACAGTGTTCTATGTGTAAATTTTAGTATACATTCTCAAATGATGACAAACAAGAAAAATGTTTGTGTTTATTATTGACTTTGCACTCTGCCTGTCAAAGAAAGATGGCAAATGTCATATGGGAAAAATATAAGAAAAAAATCAAAATGTACCTATAGCAATTTCTCACCTTCATCATAAGCAACCGAACTATTAGTGAACAAAGAGTTTTCAGATGCATTTTACATGGTCTTATATTACCTAAGAATCTGAATTTTTTTACATTTTGCTGTAATTTTCAGATTGTACCACAATTCACATGTGTTTACGTATTATTTATGTAAAGGGCTTTTTTCCTAACAGAGAGAAAATCTTATCTGAAACTGTAACTTGGGCAAAGCATAAAATAATCTTATGTAGACCTTTTTTATTAGTTGATTTAACAAAGATTAAGCACAGATTTTTTACTCTGTGATGGTACAAAGATAAGTAAGATAGGATCTCCAAATCTCTAGAATCAGAAACAGGTGATTATTTCAGTGTACTCTGGAGATAAGACAATGAGCTGTCCAAAATATTAAAGGAGTATCAAATAGGGACATAATGCCCAACTAATGAGTTTGTAAATCAGGGAGATGAAACATAAACTAAAGGATGAGTAATGGCAAACCAAACTGAAAAAGCCCTTTTATTATGGAAATTTTTCAAAATTCAGAGCAGTATAAAGATGAAAATGACAGTCATTCATAATCCCACCAACCAGAGATAGTCACTGTTAACATTTCAGCATGTTTCATTATAGACTTCTTTTACCAGTTCTGGGAGTGGGGAATGATATTCTTTTATATTTATTATTTCCATCACATTTAAAGCAATGGAATTATGTTGCACATATGAAATGAAACTTCTTACTAGAAAAATGTAATATCCAAATAACTTCTTAGATTTGATCCTTTATTACTATATGAATATGTCTATCCTACTTCTCCCAGCCTGCTTCAGGAATGAGGGAAACTTTCAAATCCTCTAACTGGGAATGGGACACAAGTTGTCTCTTCTTTAAAATTCTATAAACCTAACTGAATTACCTGTTATTTTCTCTCTTCCGAAACCCAAACCAGGGCTCAGTTAGTGGAAAAAGCACACAGCCTTTTCTTAAGGTTACACATTGACAGATGAAGTTCTTACTACTTCCAATTCTTCCTCTCTTCCATTCTGGAGAATCTTTTGATATGGACAGCCTGGCTCTTCATCTTTTCTCACAATGCTATTATTTGGAACCTGTGTCCAACTAGATTAAGACTTCTGAAACTTAAAGCCAGATTGTCTGCTGCATTATCCATCCTGAAATACAAAATGCCAATGATTAAATGAAGAAAACAAGGCACTTAAATAAATGTATGGGGGAAACTTCATTAAGATTTTAAAAATATTATCTTAATTCAATATTAATAAAATAGTAAAAAACAAAATAACTGAAATTCGCTTTTATTTCTGTGAGAAAATTAATTTTGATATGTGTTTGAATTAAATGATACTTTTCAGAAACATAATCTCATACATCCAGAAAGATGCACAAAAACTTGTTTATTCATTTAATAGATATTTACTGAATACCCTCTATGGGCTAAATACTATGCAAAGCACTAGAAAGGCAAAGTCACTGCCCCAGAGATCTGACAGTCTGGAAGGGTGACAAACAATCAGACATGTCCAAGGACAATATGACAGGTATATTACAGAAATAGAAGGGGCACCTGTTCCAGACTGGGGTGGAGGTATAAAGGTATAAAATGGATTATAGGAAAGAATAAAAGTATTCTAGAAAGGAAGAATAGCATGTTCAAGAACTATAAAAAGTTGTCTATAACTGAAACACTGGATATATCAAAGGATGTGGCAGGAAAGAAGGATGAACATGAGGGAAAGGACCAGATTACAAAATTCCATATTTGCCGTACTCAGGGGATTGGCTTTATTTTATAGGGGATATTAGAGAAGACTTCCCAATGGACATCATATCTGAGGTTAACTTCAAAACATACAAAAGAGTTTGTCAGAATAACCTGAGGTGCTTCAGAATAATCTCAGATGCTTCTGAAAATTTTTGATTCCTAGGTTCCATATCCAAAGATCCTAAGCTAGTAAATTGGGGTGAGGATAAGGATTCTGTATTTTTCACAGGATATTTTGATAGAAGTGCCTATGCATCACCTATTCCAAATTTGATATACATACTTTCCATTACTCTAACTACAACTCTTAAAAGAAAAACACACACACTTGGCTTAAATATTTATAATTATTTAGAAGACAACATGTAGCACTATAGTAGGATTATTAGGACAATGTGCCATCCGCTGTTTAAAAATGAAACCGACCATTTACTTAGTGTTTATTACATGTCAGGTATGTGCCAAATCTTTTATATAATTATATAATTTACCATTCGTATCACCCTGAGAAGTATGCATTTTACCTCCATTTATATATGAAGAAACTAAAGCTGAGTGAAGTTAAATAACTTGCTGAACTTCATACAGCTATAAGCAGCAGAAATTCCAACCCAGGCTATCTGCCTCCAAGGCACTTACTTTCTGCATCATGTTTTAACTGATCTCTAACTTGTAAAGGTTGCCAGTGAAATATTTGCTCCAATTCTAATTACCACAAAGAAGAATAAGAGCACCAGATCCAAACTCAGTGTTGGTACTATGGCCAGTTTTAAAAGAATGAAACTTGTCAAGCCAAAAATAAAGTATTTCTATCAAGAATGATTTATGCCAATGCTGCCTTATATTTAGGCTCCTTCCAGTTCATTCAGAAAACACTGAGGAAGATGCCTGGGATCCCATTTCTTGACAGAAAATAATTGGGCTGATAACTACTGTGTCAGGGTGAGAAATCCTACAATGGTAATCTCCTGGTTTAAGTCTTTCTTTGGCCAAATAAGACAGAACATTGCTTTCTCCAAGTCTGCCACTGTCTCTCCTTCAGATATAACAATTCACAAAATTCCAATAAATTCTGACTTAATGTAAAAGATAGTACTTGGAAGTGGAGAAAGACAAACATTTATTTAATAGTTCATGTGATAACTACTGTAATAAAGGTATAAAATGGTTTATAGGGAAGAATAGAAGTATTCCAGAAAGGAAGAATAGCATGTTCAAGAACTATAAAAAGTTTTCTATAACTGAAATGCTGGATATATCAAAGGATGTGGCAGGAAAGAAGGATGAACATGAGGCAAGGACCAGATTACAAAATTCCATATTTGCCATACTCAGGAGATTGGCTTTATTTTATAGGTGATAGAGAAGCTCTTTAAAGATCTTAAACAGTTAGAAAGATCACTTAAGTTATAACATGAAAAATGTTGGGGCAAGGTTGGTGGCAGGGAGACTAGTTAGTAAGCTAATAAAAGAGGATAAGAGCCTGAGCTATGAAGCTGTAGTGATGATGGATAAAAGGAAATGGTCCCAAGAGATATAGGAGGAAAAACAGATGTGAATTGCTGACTATTCAGATGCAGTGAATGAGGAAGAGAAATATGTCTAGGATTCTGGCTTGATGGGTAGTGGTGCTGTTAAACAATACACACAAATAAAAAACAGTAAAAGAAGCAATTTGAGAGAACACCTGAAGAATAGTATTTTGAAAGTAATTGCAGTGGTTGTGAATATAGGCTTTGCACTCAGAAATGTCACTTAATATCCATGTGACCTTGGGCAAGTCACAAGGATATTAAATGACTCCTGAAGACTGTTTCTTTATCTATAAAACTAAGGTAATAAAAGAACCAACTTAGAATTGTTCTGAGGGTTAAATCAACTAATCAAATAAAGCATTTAGAATACTGCCTAGAAAAATGGTAATCCCTCAACAAACTGTGGCTATTAACATTGTTTAATTGAGTTTGAGGAGGCTAGAGAATGTCCAAATGCAGATTGTCAGAAAAGAGTTGGAAATATGGATTTGGGACCAGGAGAAATTCTAAGTATGGATGGTGTTTCGTTAAGAGGTTATATAGAGTTAGAATAACACAATGAATGGATTTCTGAGGAAACACCAATATTAAAAGGATTTCTGACTTTGTATTGACGCACTAATTATCCTAAATTTTTGTTTCAACCATTGTTGGGTCACAGTTTGTAAGTCTACAAATATTTTTTCCAATAAATCAAACGTCCAAATCTTTTATAAGTATTCTTACAATCTATTCTTATGGTTTTTATTTGTATAAATCTGTGTTAATGTAAAATCATCTATTTCAATTTTCCTAGAAAACTACCATATCCTTTAGAGCAAGACTCAATAGGGCTCCATATGTACTAAAACACTTCTTCACTGACACAAATATCATCCACATATTATGAGGAGCTATTCATGATTTCTATCTTCATGTACAATTTTGACTCCTGTTGAAGAGCTATTGGGACTCACTGGCAGGTTAGTTCCAGAAAAAAAAAAAGTGACAAAAAGTGGGTTTGGAAGAAGGCCTTGTCCTTTGGCATCTGTCTGATGGCACCGCTTGCCGCAGTCTCAGTCAGGATTCTCCTACATTCTAATCTAATAGTCTACTTCTTAGCTTTAAGGTCTTCATTCACTTAAATTGTCAAAAGGGGCTTCTCTTGGTAATATTTCCTTTCCACTTTAAAGATATTAAGAGAGAACAACAGAGCTTTCTCAAGAAATTCAATACTTTTAAGTCCTAAAGCAGGGGTGATCACAAAGATAGGGATACTAGCCCTCAAAAAATATAATGCAATATTCAGCAAAAGAGACAAAGAATAATATAGGAAAAATGAGGAACAGCTGAGTTAACAAGTGAGCAGTTATCATACCCCAAGGTGTCACTGCTCCACTTGACTCTGGGGTCAGAAAACCAGAAATCAAGGATGATGCCAAGGTTTTTGGCCTGAGAAAGTTGAAGGATGGCATTTCCATTGCCTGAGACAGATGAGTACTGAGAACTTATATGTAGAAACAAAAAAGTTCTTGGGGACTTTCACAAGAGTTGTTCAACAGAGTGAGAGACGACAATTTAAGAGACAATAGGATGAGAGAAATTGGAGTATCAACAACTGTACTCCAGAAGATTGGAAAAGAGGAACAAAGAAAGAATTAGGGCAGGAGGTAGAGGGAGAAATGGGCTCAGAAAGAGAAAATAGTTATTGTTTACTTTGCAATCTACACAGGTAAAATGAAAATATGTAGATTATCTTGTTTTCTCAGGTTGTTTCACCATATCCTATTTGTGTTTCTTTTTACTTCCCTGTGAATAGCAAGTTAATATAACAATTACTATTGGACTCGTTCAAGTCAAATTACAACAGTATAACAATAATGTCTCAAAATACTTCAAGAACAAGTACAAAATAAGCAGCAAATCATTTTTAGCAGCAAATCTTTTTTTTCCACTAGAATATCCACTGGGAAAGGAGTTTAGTAGTATAATCAGCAATAAATAAGAGTTATTTCCTTTATTAAAAATGCCTGGTTACATAAGAAGGACACAAATATTTTTAAACTGTATCATGGTATCAGTTCTCTCATCATGAAATTTTAATTCCTGTGGTCCAGTAGACATAGATCTGCTGGAGACAGGAAGCAAAGAATGCCATTCAGCTGAATGAATGAACGAACCATTATGGTAAACCAAGTATAATTCCCAGAGTCAGGTCAGGACATCAGGGATAACAACAATGCAGCTCTCTTCATGAAAGCATGGAAGATTTTTTAGGTGTGTTTTTCCACCAAGAGGGAAAACAGATAGTGATTTGGGACTTCATTCAAAAGATTCCACTACCATCTATGTTCTATGATTATATAGACTAAATCTGTCTTGTTCCCTGTTTTCCCAGGGTCTATCATGCTGCTGAATGCATAATAGAAATTCAATAAAATTTCTCAATAAGTGAATGAAAGCATGCAAAATCAGTTAAATGAATAAATGAGTGAATGCCACCTTAACTCTATGGAACTATAATAGATGATAAATCACAGGCATACTCAAGAGTCTCATCTGATAAATTGCTTCTATAATAAATAACCACCACAACTTATTCATACCACAAATATAGAACACTTTAAAGACCACCCATATGGTATCTATTTTGTTTATCCAAACAAGATATTATTACTGACCTCATTGATATGCCTGGTGAAGAAAAACTTAATTTGGCCTTGTTAATTTTATAAAACTAGCACAGGGGGGTTCCATCAGTTGCTGTTCTTAAGAATAAGACATATTTTGAGAGAATCATCATGAGGAAATCTGTGAAGTCACGATAAATATGAATGTTAGTGTTGAAGATTCTGATGTGTAATGTTTAAACAATGTAAACTGAATTCATCTTTACCCTGACTGTGCCCTGCTAGAACAAGAGAAAGATGTCCTACATATCCATTCATGTTAACCACATAGTGTTATTTATGAATAAATAACACAGACTTTTAGAAGTATAATATTCAGTATTTCCATCTTCTTGTCTGAGTAATGGAGATTCAACCATACCTGTGGGTGTGGATGAGAATTCCTCTGAAAGAATTCTGTCAGCCATCATGGGGCAGGCTTTGGAGTGGGCATGAAAAGGAGTTTCTTTGAAATAATAGTTGAGGACTTAGGACTCTGGGTCTGGGATTCCTATAGATTTTCCTTGGCGGGAACTGAGCTTGCCCTGACACGTAATGCCACATGGGAGCAAATTAATATGAGGAAACATAGCTTGGAGAATTATGAGACTGTCTTTATTCATCACTACATCTTTGGAATAACAATGATTGAGAGTATGGACAGCTGGTAGGGTTCATAAAGAACCAATAAGACAGATTAATGGAACATATTAAAATTCCTTTGGTAGTCTCACACATTAACTCAGTGAAGGAAACTAGTAGAAAAAAACTTAACTAACCTATCTATGGGATAAAAATTTGTAGTCATATTTTGGATCTCATACTGAAAATGTATTGTTCTGCCAATCATGAAGATCAGTCCTTTCCTTCTAGAAAATGTCACACCTAACCTTTCATTCAGCCAGACTTTATTGGTTAGTCAGGGATGGGCATCTGATCCCATGTGTACCAATCAGTATCAGTGCTCTTTCCCTGGATTCTTCCACTTGATATGAGACAGATAGTCTCTTAACCTCTCTAACGGAGGAAATTTTAAGTTTTAGAGCAGGTGGAGACCATGTCTCTCACTAGAAGAAAAACCCCTGGGGGACAATGAATCTAAATCACAGAAAATAACTGAGGAGAAATGTAATAAGTGACAAATAATAATTATTGCTGAGATCTAGACACAGCCCAGCACTTCCTGTGGTTTGATCACCAAAGCCAATAATCCTTTTTCCTAAGCTAATGGAAACTGGATATCCGTCTCTTACAATCAGAAGAATCCTGCCTAACAGAGGCATTAAAGGAAAGTGTCACTTCATTTTATTGCCACAGACTGGAAAGGTCTAGAAACATGCTGATTACATTTTTATAGGAAAACTGAAACTCAAAGAACTTAAGTGTCTTGCCCCCGCCCCGGCAACCCCCGGTCAAAATGACCAGCAAACATTTCTGATTCCAAAGCCAATCCCCCTTCATTAACTATTACCCTATGAAAAAAATTCTGTAGTATGGGCATCTTGATATTTCTGGAATATTTATAAAACATATTCCAAAGACTTGACAACTGATGGGTTTGGAGTTTGAAGAACTACATTATCTAGCAAATGGGCTAATCTTACAAAACTGATTAAGTTTCTATTCAATGTAATTTTCTAATAAAGGATTGGCAGTGCATATCATACTTGACCTGGAAGTTTTTTATTCTCAATAAATACTTATTACTTGTTTTTCATTCTGGAAGCTTTTTATTCTCAACAAATAGTTATTCTTTTCATATTCCTCAAATACTTATTTAGTGTGATAACTCTGCACAAAGATAAAACACTAAACCTTTCTCAATTTATTCTCCCCCAAAAATAAAAAATAAACAAAACCAGTGCTCTGTGCCTATGAGCCACTTGGGAATCTTGTTAAATGTAGATTCTAGTTTAGTAGGTCTGAAATGGGACCTGAGAATCTGTACTTCTCAAAAGACCTCTGGTAATGCCAATACTGCTGGTATACAAGCTACATTGTGACAAGCCAAGTTGTAGATCCTCTGGGAAATAAAGCAATTAATGCATGCCAGATTTTTACCCTATGCCAGATTCCTCTGCCTCCAGATCTTTGAATGGCTTGCTACTTCTCACCACTCAGGTCTCAAGCTGAAAGTCAGTCCTCAGAGAGGTATTCTCTGAACACTCTCTAAACAACCCAAATCTGAATTTGCATTACTCATTTTTTTATTTACTATCTGTTTCTTCCTAGAAAAATATAAGCTCCACTTCCACTTCCAGCCATTACGAAGTAACAGTGACCCAATTTACCCTACTGCATGAAACTATTAATACATAACACCTGGACAAAATATATGAAACAATGGTTTTTGGACATTTGACATAAAGGAATGCATAACAGTAATCCTGAATGCAAAAAACAAACTGAGCTCTCTGAGTGCCCCAGTTGCTATGCCTGTAGTACAAGAAAAGGAAATCCAGACAGAATTTGATGCTCTTCTTGAGTTGAAGAGATGAAGCTGGGAGTCCAGACAGGCCCAGGTTTAACAAAGCAGATACCAAAGAGGAGAGAGATGCACAGAGAGAGAGAGATGCAAAGGATCTCTCCAGTCTTCAACTCTGTAATGCTTAATACTGGTATATGAAGAAACTACTTGAATTGGGGTGGAGATGCGGCATAGAAGAAATCACTTGTATAGAGCAAAGGAAGCGAAGGAATTATCATAATCCTCAGGACTCAAGCAGTGCCAGGAATACTAATGTTCCCATCAGTCCAGTGGAAAACCCTGCAAATCACAGGACATTGGCTAGACTACTCAGAAATTTATTGCCTCAGGAATAAGGAAAATGAGGCCTAGTTTAAAGTCTTCTCTGTTTCTAACTAACCAAGCCTAATGGCAATGTTTGAAAAGATCAAGCTACTTCCAAGTAACTTAACAGTATCATGAAAAAAAAGAAACAAGCTCAGGAATATTTATAGGAACAAAAGAATTTTCAGTACTCAATAGCGTACAACGCACAATTAGTCTAGTAACTAATAAAAACTTATCTGGCATACATACTGCCTAAAGCAATTTATAGATTCAATGCTATCTCTATCAAACAACCAATTACATTCTTCACGAAACTAGAAAAAAACTAATCTAAAATTCATTTGGAATAAAAAGAGAGCCCAAATAACCAAGGCAATCCTAAGTAAAAAGAAAAAAGCTGGAAGCATCACGCTACCTGACTTCAAACTCTACTACAAGGCTACAATAACCAAAACAGCATGGTACTAGTATAAAAACAAACACATAGACCAATGGAACAGAATAAAGAGCCCAGAAATAAGGTCACACCCCCTACAACCATCTGATCTTCAACAAAGCTGAAAAATAAAAAGGACGGGGGAAAGGACGCCCTGTTAAATAAATGTTGCTGTAGCCATATGCAGAAGATTGAAACTGGATCCTTCCCTTATATCATATACAAAAGTTAACTCAAGATGGATTAAAGACTTAAATATAAAACTCAAAACTATAAAAACCATAGAAGACAACCTAGGTAATATCATTCTGGACATAGGAACGGGCAAATATTTCATGACAAAGACACCAAAAGCAATTGCAACAAAAGCAAAAAATGGCAAATGGAATCTAATTAAACTGAAGAGCTTCTGCACAGCAAAAGAAACTATCAACAGAGTAAAAAGACAACCTACAGAATGGGAGAAAAATTTTGCAAACTCTGCATCTAACAAAGGTCTAGTATCCAGCATCCATGAGGCACTTAAATAAAAAAAAAAATTAAAAAGTGGGCAAAGGACATGAACAGACACTTCTCAAAAGAAGACATACATGTGGCCAACAATCATATGACAAAAAGTTCAACATCACTGATCATTACAGAAATGCAAACCAAAACTACAACGAGATAGGATCTCACACCAGTCAGAATGGCTATTACTAAAAAGTAAAAAAAAAAAAAAAAAAAAAAAAAAAAAGAAAGAAAGAAAGAAAACAGGCGCTGGCGAGGTTTTGGAGAAAAAGGAAAACTTATACACTGTTCATGGGAGTGTAAATTAGTTGAGCCATTGTAGAATACAGTGTGGTGACTCCTCAAAGACCTAAAGACAGAAATACCATTCAACCCAGCAATCCCATTACTGAGTATATACTCGAAGGAATAGAAATCATTCTATTACAAAGACACTTGTATGCGTATGTTCACTGCAGAACTAGTCACAATAGCAAAAACATGTAAACCACCTAAATGTCCATCAATGGTAGACTGGATAAAGAAAATGTGGTACATATACACCATGGAATACTATGCAACCATAAAAAAGAATGAGATCATGTCCTTTGCAGGGACATGGATGGAGCTGGAGGCCATTATCCTTAGCAAACAAATGCAAGAACAGAAAACCAAATACTGCATGTTCTCATTTATAAGTGGAAGCTAAATGATGAGAACACATGGACACAGGGAGGGGAACAACACAAACTGGGGCCTTTCAGAAGGTGGAGGGTGAGCAGAGGGAGAGGATCAGGAAAAACAAGCAATGGGTACTTGGTTTAATACCTGGGTGATGCAATAATCTATACAACAAACCCCCATGACACAAGTTTACTTATGTAACAAACCTGCACTTGTACCTCTGAACTTAAAATAAAAGTTAGAACAAACAAATTAAAGAATATGGAAATAAAGGAAGAGACATTCCATGTTCATGAATCAGAAGACTTTGTTAAGATGTCTTCTTGTTAAGACAGCAAATGTTACATCTTATAAATCTAAGGCAATAAATCTAATTGACTTCTTTTAGACAGAAATTTTAAGGCAATTTCTATCAAACTCCCAGGAGGCTTTTTTGGCAGAAATTGACAAGGCAAACCTAAAATTCATATGAAAATGCAAAGGAAACAGAATATCTGAAACAGAATATCTAAAATAACACAAGTAGTTTGGGGTATGTACACATCTTAATCTTAAAGCTCACTCTAAAGCTACCCTAATCAAGATAATGTGGTACTGGCATAAGAAGATAGATAGATAGATAGATAGATAGATAGATAGATAGATAGATAGATAGACAGACAGACAAGCCCAGGAGTAAAGTAAACCTTCACATTATACACAACACATACTTCTTATAAGGTGCAAGACAGTTCAATGGGGAAAAGAGGGTGTTTTCAACAAATCATTCTAAAACAATTAGTTATCTACATGCAAAAGGACTAATTTGAACCCTTGCCTTATGCCATATGCACAAATTAATGAAAAATAAATCATGGACCTATGTGTAAGAACTGAAACTACAAAACTTCTTAGAAGAAAACATAAGGGTAAATCTTCATGACTTTTGGTTAAGCAACAATTTTTAGACAGGACACCAAAAGAAAAAATAATAAAAAAAAATATAAACTTTTTGTGTTTCAAAAGACACTATCAAGCAAATAAAAAGACATGATCTAGACAGACAGAAAACATTTGCAAATTATAGATCTTATAAGGGACTCATCTATAATCCATAAAGAACTCCTAAAACTCAATAAGAAAGGACAAAATATTTGAATTGATATATTTACCTCCAAAAAAAGATATGCTAATAGCCAGTAAGCACATTAAAAGATGTTCAACATCACTAGTCATTAGGAAAGTACAAATCAAAACCACAATGACATACCAGTTCACATCATCTAGAATGGCTATAATTAGAAAGACTGATAATAAGGGTCGGAAGGCTGTGGAAAAATTGGAGAACCCTATATTGCTATTGGACTGTAAAATGGTGCAGGCACCTTGAAAAAGTCTGGCAATTTCTTAAAATGTTAAACATAAATTTACCATATAACCCAGCAATTTCAATTTCACTCCAAGGTATACATCCAGAATTTTACCAACCTAGGTAAGACAATTAGGTATTTCCCCCAAAGTGAAAATATCTATCCACAAAAAGAATGGTATCCAAATATTAATAGTAGCACAATTCATAGTAGGCAAAGGGTGGAAACAACACAAATGCCAGACAGCAACTGATACATTATAAACAAAAAGGGGTATTACAACGTAATACTTTTTTATAATAAAAAATGAGGAAGTACTGAT